AAAGTGTCAAAACTAATCACAAAGAGAGCAATTGCAATACTCTGTTCGGTCTGCGGGCAACAAAGCAGACACGAATTGCGTCTCATTCTGGTCTCACGGGCTAGCGTTTGGTGCCGCTGATGTTTTTTCCTTTTTAAAGAGCAAATTATTTACAAAAAATGACACAGCCAGAATTATGAGTTTATTTCCTTTGTACATGTTATTACGACCGCATTATATCGTCCCATTTATCACTTGGAGCTCCCTATCTGTGGTCAAGTTTGAACTATGTCCTGGGTACACGAATCAAGGGCCAAGGCAGTAGAGGCAGGAAAGTGATTGTAACGTGAAAATGTGCTATTGTGCGCCGATATATATGCAAATATGTACATAAATAAAATTAATAACATATGTGCATACATACACATTTAACGTACATAAGTACACACACATATGTATATAGATAGATATATAAATAGATAATAGATATAGATAGATAGACATAGATATAGATATGTACATGTATATAAATATTTTTTCATAAATACACACACACACACACATATATATATACACAGATATCAATCTATCTACCTTATATATATATATATATATATATATATATATATATATATATATATATATATATATATATATATATATATATATATATATATATATATATATATATATATATATATATATATATATATATATATATATATATATACATATATATATATATATATATATATATATATATATATATATATATATATATATATATATATATATATATATATATATATATATATATATATATATATATATATATATATATATATATATATATATATATATATATATATATATTATATATATATATATATATATATATATATATATATATATATATATATATATATATATATATATATATATATATATATATATATATATATATATATATATATATATATATATATATATATATATATATATATATATATATTATATATATATATATATATATATATATATATATATATATATATATATATATATATATATATATATATATATATATATATATATATATATATATATATATATATATATATATATATATATATATATATATATATATATATATATATATATATATATATATATATATATATATATATATATATATATATATATATATATATATATATATATATATATATATATATATATATATATATATATATATATATATATATATATATATATATATATACCATATTGCTTCAATATGCCCTCAAATACAAAAACACATCTCTGGAGAGGTACAGACTTGCATGAGAATTAAAAGATCATCAAGGATGCATGCATCTAAATATTCAAGGAAAATGAATTTCAACTTGTTTTTTAATTCTCTTATTACAGAATATATTTTGTCATTCTGACATCAGGTTACATTTTTGTGATCATGCAATAACAATATCTGTAACTATAGCTGCAGTCTTATTGCAATGGTAAAAGACAAAATATATAATTTAGTAAAAACGAGAAAACAGAAGTTCATGCGATTCAAACCAATTACAAAGAATGCTACTGTAAATAGCTACTTTGTACAGAACCTCTTACAATCTTAATGTGCAGGTCAGTTTATATTAATAACAATGGCATTCACAGATATCTGGACTGGTGAACAGATTTTTCCACATCAACTTATTCACAGCCTATGGACAATCTAACATTTTAAAAACTGACAACAAACGAGTAAGTAGAACATTAGAATAAAGCAAATGAATGCAACGGGATATAAATTCAAAGCAAACAAAACATAGTGACCACAAGAATAACTAAAACAGTAGCTCAGTTTCTGCAACTGTAAGCAACAGTTGGTTTATGTAAGAGCTGTATCTCCCACGTCACTGAGGTCTTTCAAGCTCAGGACTTCAATCTTTGCACGGCCCTTTGTTGATGAGGTGATCAGGTCCTCAATCAGTCTGAAGTGACCTGGATCAATCAGCCCAATCTGAAAGTACATTTGATCAGTCTCGCCTTTATAATACACACATTCACTCACTCACTCACTAACTCACTCACTCACCCTCTCCCTCTCTCTCTCTCATTCTCACACACACACACACTCACACTCTCACGCTCTCAGCAGTATTAAATACTAGAAAATATCATTGAAAATCAAGGAAAAGAATAAACAGGTGGGACGGGTAGTTCTCGCAATTGGCTCGTTGGGAACTTTGTACTTGTGGAGCCATCTATATGTAAAAACAATTAAACACACAATGCACACAGCATATAAGCACATGCCATCCCCGATGGTTAATAAAGGATTAAGTACAAGCATACTTTACAGTATATTAATACCCTTTTGCTGTTACTACAGCCATATATTTAAAGGTATAGTTCACTTTTCAGCATCCTGTACAGACAACTTACTTTCAATTTACATCTCCTAAAAGATGATACCCATATAAATAACCAGTAAAATTGTTTCTCTTACCCAAAG